TCCTCTTCCTCTTGCTCTTGCTCTTGCTCTTAGTTCTTGCTCTTCAACTTCATCATCTTCTACCATTTGCTCTTCCTTATCCTTTTCCCATTGCTCTTTCTCTTCTTCAGCAACTTCCCTTTATTCTTCCTCTTTCTTTTTCAGTTTCTCCTGATTCTTACTCTTCAAATTGATCATCTTTTTCCATTTGCTTTTCCTCTTGCTCATCCACTTGCTCTTTCTGTTTCTCTTCTTTCTTCCTCTTCAACTGCATCATCTTCCATTTTCTCGTCCTGTTACTCTACTTCTTGCTCTTACTTCTTCCTCGTCAACTTCATCCTCTTCTTCCTTTTGCTCTTCATCCTGCATTTACTCTTCCTTTTTCTTTCCCATTGCCTTTTATCTTGCTTTTACTCTTGTTCTTCCTTTTGCTCTTACTTCTTCCTCTTCAACTTCATCCTCTTCTTCCTTTTGCTCTTTCTGTTGCTCGATCTTCTATCTCTTCAACTTCATCATCTCCTTCCTTTCGCACTTTCTATTGCTCTTCTTTTGCTCTTACTTCTTCCTCTTCAACTTCATCCTCTTCTTCCTTTTGCTATTCCTCTTGCCCTTGCTCTTCCTTTTTCAGTTCCCATTGTATTTCCTCATGCTCTTCTTTTTGCTCTTGCTTCTTCATTTTCAACTTCCTCATCTTCTTCCTTTTGCTTTTCCTCTTGCCTTTGATCTTCCCATTTTCTCTTCCCATTGCCTTTTATCTTGCTCTTTCTCTTGCTCTTGCTCTTTCTCTTGCTCTTGCTCTTGCTCTTACTTCTTCCTTTTCAGCTTTATCATCTTTTTCCTCTTGCTCTTCCTTTTGTTCTTACTACTTCCTCTTCAACTTGATTACTTTCTTCATTTTACTCTTTCTCTTGCCCTTCCTCTTGATCTTCCTTCTTCCTCTTCAACTTAATCCTCTTGCCTTTGCTCTTCCTTTTTCTCTTCCCGTTGCCTTTTATCTTGCTCTTACTCTTGCTCTTCCTGTTGCTCTTACTTCTTCCTCTTCAAATTCATCATCATCTTACTTTTGCTCTTCCTCTTGCTCTTCCTTTTGCTATTTCTTCTTCCTCTTCATCTTCATCATCTTCTTACTTTTGCTCCTCCTCTTGCATTTGCTCTCTTTTTCTCTTCCCATTGCCTTTCATCTTGCTCTTCCTCTTGCACTTTCTCTTGCTTTTCCTCTTGCTCTTACTTCTTCCTCTTCAACTTCATCATCTTCCTTTTGCTCTTCCTCTTGCCCTGCTCTTCCTTTTTCTGTTCCCATTGCATTTCCTCTTTCTCTTCCTTCTTCCTCTTCAACTTTATCATCTTCCCTATGCTCTTCCTCTTGCCTTTGCTCTTCCTTTTTCTCTTCTCAGTTTCTTTCATCTTGCTCCTTCTCTTGCTCTTCGTCCTACTGTTGCTCTTTCTCATCAACTTTCTCTTGCTCTTACTTATTCCACTTCAACTTACTCATATTCTTCCTTCAGCTCTTCCTCCTGCTCTTGCTCTTGCTCTTGCTCTTCCACTTCCCATTTCTCTTCTCTTCCTCTTCCTCTTGTCCTTACGTCTTCCATTTCAACTTACTCATATCCTTCTTTTGCTCTTCTTCTTGCCCTTGCTATTCCCATTCCAATTCCTCTTGTTCTTCCTCTTCCTCTAACTTCCTCATCAACTTCCTCTTGAGCCTCCTCTTGCTCTTCTTTCCTATTCAAATTCCTCACCCTCTTTCTCTTCCTCTTCCTCTTTCTCTTCCTT